TTTTTAAGGTGGAAGATGTCTCAAACATTATTTCATATTACGGGTGTGATTTGAAATTGGGAAAGGGCAGAACTTTAATTTCCAAGAGATTATGAAGTTCTCTCAAAATATTTCATGGTTTCTGGTCCGTTATTATTGTAGTAGATTATGCAAGTATCATGTATGAAAATTGATCACTTTGGCTTATTAAAATTGTGTATGCATTATGTATATATATGCGCGAGTTACATCTTTTTTATATGTGAGTTACATCTTCTTCTGCGTGAGTTACATTTGGACTTGTCTTAACAAGTTACATTTTGAATACCCCTAAGTTAGATTTTACATCAAAATGATTTACATTTTTCATAACATGTGTTACATCACAAAATAAACCCTGCAAAAAATCAGTTTTTTGCAGACAAACATATGATTTTTTAGTAAAACACTCATTTTTTGGTTTAAAAATAATAATTTTTTAGCATAAATAATTTTTTGAAAAACATTTATTATGGTCTTAATATTAAAAACAAAATATATTCACTACTTAGGTAAAATAATTGTGCAATTAGACTCCTTTGTGAAGTTTGTGAATTCTATGTCTCAGTATATTATGTTACTAAAAACTACTACTTCCGTCCCCCTAAGTTTGGGACAAAAGAGTGTGGTGTGGTTTTTAAGAAAAAGTAGAATTGTGTGGTTGGTATTGAATTGATAAAGTGTGAATAAAGTAAGAATGAATTCTAACCACTCAAACATTACCTAATAAGGCATGAGACAAACTTAATGGGACGGACGAAAAAGGTAAAACTAGACAAACATAGGGGGGTGGAGGGAGTACTTTAAAGACTCTGGAGTGCTTTATTCAAGTGATTGTGCACGATGTAACTTCAGTTATACCTTATGTAAAAAGTGTATAACAAAAATGTAACTCGCGTGAGGACTTATGTAAATTATCAAAGATAAAACTGAATCACAAACAACAAAGTTTAGTAATTGTTGAAGTGTATTTATAAAATTAAACTTCTTTTTACTTGAGATGTAACCTTGGTTTATTTGAGATGTACTTGCTATTGAATTCAGATGTAATTTGTTTTTTATTTGACAAGTACTTGTTGTTAACTTGAGATTTAAATTCTCTTACTTTGAGATTAAAATATGTTAAATTGAAATATAATTTCAGAATAAAGTAAATGTAACTCCAGTAATGTGTTAATAAATTTGACTGTAAGCATGATAGGAAACAAAGGATAACAAAATGTTAACAACCAGTAAACGAAATATAAATCTCATCAAAAGAAATGTAAATCTCATTAATGTCTCCAACATTTACATTAAAACAAAAAGAAATATATAGCATGTCTCAGCATTAGGTTCACAGCATTAGACTAATTCTACTATAAAAACAGTAATTAAACTAAAACTAATTCTGCATTTGGTTCACAGCATTAGATTGCATGAAGTATGGAGCTAAAACTTGTGGAGATCTAAACACACTCATCAAAGTAGTCATTCCTCCAACTGGATGAACAAGATAACCTTATGGAACCATAGAACTGACAATGTCCTAGAATTGAAACAAAACAAAAAGTAATGATCAGAAAAGGTGAATTAAAGAAGACAAAATATAAAAATAAGAAAATACTTGAACTACAGATTGTGCAACTTCTTTTGAATTACTGACAACATTTTGAGATTTAGAATGTCGAGCTTTGACTATTTTGCATTGTTTTTCAACAATGCTTCTTTTTCTTTTATTCCGCTCACCTTTAGAACATCAAGTATTGTCCTTGGAGCAGAACCAAATTCATCCATAGAAGAAACATTTTTTTGAATATCTAAAAAGTGTTTGATAGATTTATACCATTCCTCACATACTTGCCTAGCTTCAGGTAGACCAGCACTTGCAGCCAATATAGCATTGAACTTCCTAGTCATTTGCACTCTCCAAACAGAATCTTCAATTATTTTTCCACACATAACATTTGTTCCTTGAGTAAAAGGAGGAGTAACATTTTGCAAAATAGCAGCTTTTGTCCATCTAGACAGTATATAAACTTGAGGAATACATTTCACTCAATGGACATTATATATACACAATATGTGTCTACACAAAATGCAAACTTCTGAAAACAGCTTACAAGTGCATGTCAATGTGTTGTCATTTCCATTAAAAATAACGTTGTGCCTAATCAAATCTACACCGTCCAACCAAACATGATACACATAATCATCACAATTCTATGTCTTTAATTTAAAAAAGTGTGACATACCCTTCAAATACTATTTCTGGAACAGTTTGAATATCTCAACGGTGTATACATCTCTAGCATGAGACTACATACAATCTTGTAGCAATACCATCTCAACGGTGCCTTCTAAACATCTGAAATATTCACCATATTCTTCTGACCTCCCCTCATCAACAACATCACCAAACATTTTGTAAAAGTCACACAATGTTGCAGTTTTTGAGAGTCTTCTGGATATGGATCTATTTGTAGATTCACTTCTTTGGGAAGATAGAATGCCGTCAGAGAAATATTCCTTTGAAAATGCAGGACACCACTTTTCTTTATGACTGTAGAGCCTTTTTAACCATTTATTATCACTGCATTCATACAATCTGTTCAACCTGAAACCAATTTTAAAAATCAATACAAAGTTACATATAAAACCAACACAGGTTACACAAGTGCAATAAACAAGTGATACTAAATAAATAAGAGGTTACTAAATAAATAAGAGGTTACATCACAATACAAATAACTTACTCAGTCCAGTAGAAATCAAACTCTGCAACTGTGTCACATCGTTTAACAACATAATCAAATAGAGGAACAAAATTTATCTTCTTGCGTAGAAACATGATGTGTTTCTTTGAATTCTCATCTATATGCCAAGTACATATTCCATGTCTTGACTTAGGGAAAACTGGTTTTATAGCTGCTGCCATGGAAAATGATTGGTCTGTCATAAATGAGATGGGTTGTTTACTGCCCATAGATTTCAAAAAAGTCTGAAATAACCAAACAAATGACTCCACCTTTTCATTCAACATAAAGCCACAACCAAACATAATATTCTGACAATGATGATTCATACCAACAAACGGACCACAAATCATGTCATATTTGTTAGTCCTGTAAATCATGCACAACTAAATCACCAAACCTCTCATAATCCGATCTCGTTTGTCCATCTCTCCAGAAAAAACAACTCAGTACACCTTCATCTACCTCAAAATCAAAGTAAAAATCGGATTTCACTTCAGCCCTTTTCTTCAATATAGAAATCAAAGTGTTAGAATCACTACCATCAAACGTTTTACTCCTTTCAAATTCTAGAACGTTATAAGCATCACGTTTGGTGAAACCAAGAGCACCTGCCTGTTTTTGAAGCATACGATGAATATCAGAAACTTTTGTCCCACTCTCCTTCATCAACATAATAAATTCAAGATACTCATGATCAACACCTCGATGTGATTTCAGAAGGTGTCTTTGACCAATTGGACAAAAAGAATGGTTGTGATCAATAATATGCTTTGAAACAGTCCATTCACCATCAATACTAATAGAAAAATGCAGTTTTGCTTTACAACCTGAACGATAATCTAATTTCGTATACATTTTGTTTTTAGTTCCCTTTTGTTGTTTCTTCCCTTCCAACAACAGTAAGACTTCATAATCAAACTTACATTGCCACTCCTAAACCTCCGTTTGTATCTTCGAATACCAAAGCCATTTTCAAAAGCATGAGTGTTGTAAAGATTATAAGCATCTTGTTCAGATTTAACACTGACTCCAACAAGTGATTTACACTCAGTTGCCTTGTCAACAGTTGCCAATGTATCTGACAAATCACAAAGCGGATATATGAAAAAAACCACTGTACAAAAATACATACAATTGAATGCAAGTTACATACTGTTGAGCATAAGTTACATACGCTTGAACTAATGTTACATACAACTACGCATAAAGTTACATAAAAAGTTAACTGAAGCCACATACAATAATTGCATAGTTTTGAATGAAACTTAAATATATTGGACATAAGTTACATGGACCTAATCTGAAGAAACATAAAACCACACACAAAGTAACATAATAATAAAGTGTAGTTACATACGATTTACAATAAATTACATTAGAAATAAAGTTACATAAAAGTCACACAAAGTTACATAAGCTGTAGCGCAAGTTACATACACTAGAAAAGAAGTTGCATAGATTTGAATATAATTTACATATTACTCAACATTAATTGCATACATATAAACCAAAGATACATAAATCTAATAACTAAATTACATAAAACTAAACAAAAGTTACATACAAATGAACTAGAATTACATAACATTGAGCTAAAAACAAACAAAACAAAAATTGAATCTCATGATAGAAAAAGTACCTCTACTGAGAAGATGCAACAATTTAAAAGCCCTTAAATCAGTTTCTTCTTCTCGTGAAAGGAAAACAACAAAATTCAACAAATATGAATTAAAAACAAATCAAATTCTCACACAATAATATAAAACAGGGAACAAAAGATATTACAGCATAACGCAAGCATAAATAAGAGAAATTAAATTTACAAAACTAAAAAACTGTAATGTTTACCAATAATTTCAACATTAACCGGCTGATCACATTCAAAATTATTGTCACCGGATGAATGAATCACGTTGTCATGAATACTAACAAGAATAGAATCGCCAAATTCGAATTCACAACAGCTGAATCATCTAACGAAAAATCCATTGAATGCAGATAAGAATCGTAAGCGCAGTGAACAGAAAGAAAAAACGGAAGAACGAACTCGGGTGCAACAAAAATTCGAAATACTAGTAAAAAATACGGAGTAAGAACCTAATTTCTTTTAATGGAAAACGACACAGTTTTGAGATTGGCACACCATTCACACGGTGGGCCGATCCCACGGTATAATTTGCGCATATTTATACTTCTTTTGAGAATCACAGGCTCTAAAACATCTTAATCTTTCCCAATAACTTTGGAATTTCTAAATAGATGAGGAATCAATCATTTCATTAAAGACATTGAAAATGCACATATTAACAACATTATCATCTTATACACAAACGATTATATTACTTCACAATTAAATATTTACAGCAACCTTTGACAAATCAACCATGAAACATTTTATTGTAAGGTTGACTTTAAGAAGTTAGATGAACTTAAAGCAGATGAAAGCTCTTGTCTCCTTGGCTTGTCAGACCAAAGGCTCTTGTCTTCTTGACACACAAACAGTGTGGCTAAATAATTGAGATCAGCCAACCAGGGGTGAATGGGTTAATCCGCTCCATTTTACTTTTACATGGCCATTGCAGCTTCCGAGTTGAGACTCCAAACTGCAGCAATTGGGCTTCTAACCAGGTGGACCCCATCGACCCATTCAATTGATCCAAATGACGATTTAACCCCTAACCCAACACTCGTAAAAGTAACCTCGTACGACAACGTATGACTCTCTTCGGTAAATTCCAGTTTCGCCGGTTCCACTTTCACCTCCACACCTGGGGGAGCATTCACTTTTACCGCGTAAACCGCATCCTTTTCACTCCCTACATTTGTCACGGACCTCTTGTATTTTACCTGGCTGTTTTTACCGCGGAATACAACCGAGAACGATGGGTAATTCAGAGACCCGGGTGTACCCAACCCCGGTGTGCTGCAATTCACCGAAGCGTGATCCCTCACGAACACTGCAATCCTCTTGCTGTCATATCCAATGGCGCAGAGAAAGTCCACGTAAGCGGACATCACCAAATCGTAAACCAAACCCGGGTCCAGTGCCCTGTTCGGATCCACGTGCCCGGACCCGTGAACGAACGGGCTGGATTCTTTGCCAGTGGCAAGATCCGTAAAATTACTTCCTGAGTTGTCCACGTTGTAAGCTGTGGTCATCAGAGCTGATTTGATGGCGGCTGGGGTCCACTCCGGGTGGGCCTTACGAAGTAAAGCAGCCAATCCACTTGCGTGAGGACACGACATGGACGTGCCGGAGATGATATTGAATTCTACTCTTCTCTCGTCGATATCCAGATCGGTCGGCCCGACGGCGCCGGTCCAGCCGGCTAGGATGTTAACCCCCGGCGCTATCACGTCCGGTTTGAGGATATCGGCGGTGACGTGGTTTGGTCCGCGGCTTGAGAAAGCTGCAACTCGTGGTGCCGGCGGCGAAGTTCCGATCACCGTTCCCTTGAATGATATGGTAGCTGTTGGTGACGGATCCGTTCTTACGTAGCTTCGGATTTGGTCTCCGTCCTTTTGGCCGACCATTGATGCCGGAATTAGATGTGCGTCGGCTACCAGCTCTTCGCCGGAGTCAGCCAAATTAGCCAGGATCATTCCGACGCCGCCGGCTTCTTTTACGGCTCCGCCTTTCGCCACTCTCGCATTGCCTCCTCGATCACACATAACTAACTTTCCTGTGACTTTTGAAGTGTCAAGTGCACCGGAATAGCAGTATTTGCTTCCGCAATCACCGCCGTAGACTACAGGGAGTTTGTCATCGCCGAGGGGCGTGCCGGAGTACAATGAGACGCCGCGGAAGATACGCCCATCGCCTAAAACCACTTCAGCAGGGAACTCACGATCGATAGTGGAAGCACCGACGGTGAGAATCCACGGCGCGATGTTCACCGCAGTATACGGATCTGGACCGGAATTTCCAGCAGAGCAGGAGACGAGAACACCGTGCTCCATAGCGCCAAAAGCCCCAATCGCAATGGAATCACGGTCGTACGGCGGAGCGTAGCCGGAGGCGCCAACGGAGAGAGAAATCACGTGAACTCCATCTTCAACAGCTTGATCCATGGCGGCGAGAATATCGGAATCGTAACAGCCAGAGCTCCAGCAAATTTTGTAGGCCGCTATTCTGGCTTTAACCGCCATGCCTCTAGCTGAACCACGCGCGTACTCGAACAGACCAGCTTTCTCCACAATAGATCCAGCCGCCGTAGAGGCTGTATGTGTGCCGTGGCCCTCCGTGTCTCTGGGCGATTTCGATTCCACAGATTCATCCATCGGCTTTCCAAGTGAAGCCTCATAGCCTCTGTAGAAAGTTCGAGCACCTATGATTTTCCGATTACAAGAAGCCGCCGGGAATTTCTCACTAACCTCGCAGTTCCCTTTCCAGCCAGACGGAACAGGAGACAGCCCCTCATCGGAAAAGCTCGGCCTCTCAGGCCAGATCCCGGTATCGAGTACCCCTACGATGACGTCATCTGCGTAATCCGAGTTGGGCCAGATCCCAAATGATTGGGCCAAACCCAAAAACTGAGGCGTGTGTGTTGTGTGGAGATGGCGGACTTGATCTGGAATGACCGAAATCACACCAGGAATCTTCCCCAGCTCACTAGCCTGGAAGCGCGTCAGCCGAGCGGAGAACCCGTGGGCGGCGCGACCGTAGGCGTACAGGATCTTAGGTTTCCGGGAGGAGAGAGGAGATACGCCACGAACGATCGAGGAAAACCAGTCGCGGTGAGTAGAGAAAGCCTGCGGCTTCTGGGATTTCTCCACGTGGACGATGAACGTCTCCAGGGATTCCTCCGACGATACAGCACCGTTGAATGAGACGAGACAGAGGAATAATGCGAAGAGTATGGATGAACGGAGGGAAAGAGCCTCCATGGAAGACGACAGTCTGTAAGTACCAGTCATGTTGGAATGGGCCAATGGGGGGATAAGTGTGATGCTTGTTCATAAAGGGGAAGAAGATATATGGTTGAAATGAATATTCATCGGTGGTTATAATTGGGCCACGTGGACGATATATATTTGTTGATTTGGTATGTTTCGTGGCGTGATTGTTTCCTGCATAGTTGGAAGCTAGCGCTTCAAGGTTTTGGCTATTACAACTACCAGTCAGTCTACCACAATTCTCTTTGGTGGTTGAATGTAGCCTACATTTTGGGCAAAGGGGAGAAAATGGTCTTGTTTTTTTGAAACAAAAAACGATCTTGTTAATGCTAGTGATTGAATGAGATTCTAACAATTTACAGTAGTTAACAAAATCATTATCTCAAATAATCAATACTCCCTAGAATATCTCATTAATGTGACTGTAGACAAAGTTAGACCCATTTGATAGCACGAAAATCGTCATCTAATATCTCATTAATATCTCTAAGATTTAGCTGATTTTGCTGAAATTTACGAAGTTCTGGCTAAAGTGGTTGCACTGATTGATTCTACTAATTTATAAATAAAAAATTAAGATATATTTTGTTAATAAAAAAAGAAAAATTGTATCTCATTTACAGTAACTTCAGCCAATATAGCCAGAAAAGTAACTTCAACCTTACTTTTTCTGCTTGTTACACAATTCAGTGCACAAATACAAAAGTTACGTGTTTAGTGAAAAAGTTGGTTGATAAGCCGAAAAACAGTGTTGTCAAACGGCCTCTTAATATCTAACACTCTTTGTTAGAGGAAGGCTAATATATAAGACATTGGTACCACTTGAGTAGTTTAGTTAAGACATCTCTTACTTTTGATTTGGAGGAGATGCATTAAACAAGTGAGATCTTCTGGCAATCACATCACTAGTTAAAAAGGAAACAAATAAATATAATATGTGTATATTTCTGTGTGTACATATGTGTCGCGTGTGCATGTTATGGCATGAGAGACACCTTTCTAGTCGTGAGTCCAAATGAATTGAGTGCGTTCGTGTTTAGCTTAATTACTTAACGAGTCGGTTCGAATCTTATATGGAGTTTTGACCAATCGGTTCACATATAGCTTTAGCATGTGACTTGTTTGCACCAATGACCAACATATCAATCTATTAATTATTGACACTTCATATCAATCATATAAGATCAGAGACTACTTGTAATACGAAGTATTATGCTTATGAGAAAATTTAGCATTCTACAGGCGCATACTTATACATAAAAGGTTAACTCACTTGTTTAAAATTCATTCGTTCTCACTATGGGAATGACTTTACCAAAGATCAGCTTAGAATTTTGGCCAACTACATGCGAGACCTACCCTCTCCCCTTGAGTCCCTTTGGTGCTTAAACAAGATATTGGGGTTTGAGATTTTGGGCATTTTCACCCTATATTTGGACACTAAACGGGCAGAAGTAATAAGCTACACAGCGGGCTAACTAATGGGCTTTATTCATTATCGATGGACTAGAAGCAAGTCAAGCAACGTGAGGTTACATATTGGACTTTGCGAAATGCTAATGGATTGTGGTCCATTATCCCAACATACGGGATTTTATACGTGGACTTAAAAAAGTAGGGGCGATTGGTGTAAAAAAATGTGAAAAAGTTGGTGAAAACAAATTAGTAAGTAAGAAAGAGAAGATTAAAAGTCGAAATAAGAATAGATAAAACATGAAAAAGTAGTAAATGGAAAACAAAATAGTAAAATAAAATTTAACATGGGTAAAAAAAATTAAAATGAATACGCTGCAAATATATATAATACGAAGGAGAGAGTAGAAGATATGTTAAACTACTATTAAACTTCCTAATACTCTCTTAATTTTTGCAATATTAGTTTTTTGTATAAAATTTGAAGAAGATATAGTATAGGTAATTAATTGTTATGAAAAAGTCTAAAAAGTATGGCACAATGATAAAAAAAGGTTTGAATGAAAATATTCAAAAATAGATAGTTATGTAATTTTGAATGAAAAATTATCAAATAAATGTGTTGCAATTATTTAAGTGTAAATTAGAATTCAACGTGTTGCAAATATTGGAGGATTTTTTGCCTTATGGCGATGGCAGAGTGCCTTGCGACAACCGAAGGTGGATGGTAAAGAAGACACCACAAGATAACAAAAAATAATTTTGGCAATGAATTTTTGATAAGACACTTCGAAAAAGTCAGACACTCAACCTTACTGCTAAATCAAGGTCAGATTCACAAACATCATGATCGAACGTTGCGGCAAATTTAGTTCAATTTTGATTTTTTCGTTGAAAGGATTTAAGGGGGTGTCCCTGATTAGAATTCTGTGAGATTATAAAGGATTTTTAAAATCCTTCTAAATTCTGATATCCTCAATGTGGAATTTTATGGACTCCTAAATTCTGATATCCTCAACAATTCTATGAATTTTTTAAGACCTGGATTTCTTAGGATTTGGAAGGGTTTTTGGGCTAAAACGTGAAGGAGATATTCCAACCAACAATCTCACCAATCCCCTTTGATTTCACTAGAATTTGTTGCAACTTAGGCGAGGCGTGGAGACGGAGCCAGAGTCGCGGAGGCGTGGAACCGCACAGGACAAGGAAGTCTGATTGTCAGTCTGATTGTCACTGCGACGCCTGCGAGCCTACGAGCTACGGAGGCATGGAGCCATCAAGCGTGGTTCCTATGACTGTTGCGAGTATGTGACAGAGGAACAACACAACCGTGTAGCTTAGAAGTGAGGTCGTTGAAGCAATCGAGGGGAGAAACAAACAAACAGTGAAAGGAATATTAGGGCTTCATGATGGTGGCGACAAACCTAGGTCGAAGCCTGAGAATTCTCAAAGTCACTGAGGGAGAATTTCCAATTCCATGGAATTTGATTAGAATGTTTTCTTTTGAAGTGTTTTCAATCCATATCAAACCAGGCTTACACAGACCAGACTTGACCTAAACAGATCAAGCGAGACTTGAACAGTTATAAAATATACACCGACACGACCATTTATCATACCAGACCAGTTCAATGTTTTTCACTTCCTTCACAGAATCGCACTAAATAAAAATAAAATTTGCTTTGGCAATCGAAATCCAAAAATATCTCATGATCAAGTTATTGGTTCCCGATTTTACTACTTTTGCTTAGCTTAATAATGTCCTTTTTTTTAGTTTTTAGGCTAAAGGAATAATAGGCCCCTGTACCTGTTCGGAATGCTCAATTCGCACCCTGAACTCAAAAAAGCTCCAATTCACCCCCTGAACTGAACAAAAAAGTTCAAATCCAACTTTTTGCAGGTTAACTTCCGGTCATCGCCATGTCAGCCGGTTAGATGCCAGCTGTCCATCCCACGTGGAAATCTAAGGGGTCAAATAGACCCCTGAACCTGACAAAGTTGTTCAATTTACCCCCCCCCCCCCCCAACCGTTAAAAAGTGTCCAAATTGCTATTAAAAATATAAAATTAAAAAATTTTGAAAATAAAAATATAAAATGATATACAAGTTCATAATATAAAATATAGATGTCTATTTAAAATATAATAAGACGATTTTTATATTTTAGGGTAAATTAAATATATATAAACATAATGATGGTACTTATTTTTAAATACGTAATATCAAAATGTAGTATTCCGTAGCTATTTACATATTACAATTTTTTTATAGTATAAAATTTTTATGTTGCATATAATTAGTATGAAGTATAGTACGTAGTATATAATTCTAGAATAGAATAATACGAAATATATATACATATATGCATGTGTGTGTGTAATTTTACATATAAATCTGTATGGTTAATTTTAAAAAAATCAACCATACATTTTTTTACAAATTAATATTAAGTTTTGTATTTTGCGTACTATTTTTCCTATATATGTATATATATATATAATTTACCTAAAATATAAAAAATTTATTTTCATATTATAATTAGACTTATATATTTTATACTATGAACTTGTATATTATTTGTATTTTTATTTTCTATTTTTAATTTTTAATTTTTTAATGGCAATTTGGACACTTTTTAACAATTGAGGGGGTAAATTGAACAACTTTGTCGGGTTCAGGGGTCTATTTGACCCCTTAGATTTCCACGTGGGATGCACGGTTGGCATCTAACCGGCTGACGTGGCGATGACCGGAAATTAACCTGCAAAAAGTGGGATTTGAACTTTTTTGTTAAGTTCAGGGGGTGAATTGGAGCTTTTTTGAGTTCAGGGTGCGAATTGAGCATTCCGAACAGGTGCAGGGGTCAATTTGACCCTTTAGCCTAGTTTTTATGTACCGCCTTCCATTTCCATGCTATGATCCCCAACCCCAAGTGTCGAAATTGAACCCTACGCCAGGTCAACGTCAACGCCAATCATTCCCGGACTGCTCGAAAATCTGGGCGATTGGTTTTGTAGAAATTTTTTAAAAAATTAGTGAAAACAAATTATTTTCTCCGTCTCTAAGAGCATCTCCAGCGGTTAGCTAATTGTCTTCATAGTTTGACTAGCCATATAAGCATTTGTAGCAAAATTGAAATATACTCCAACGGCTAACTATAACTATTTCCTCTTCATTTATTATTTAATTATAATGTTATATTTAATAATTCTCATTCTCAAACTACTAGTTCATTTAGGCTAATTAGTTTTCTCAAGCAAAAGGAAGAGCAATACTCCAATTGTAGCCTAGTAGCTTCTAAATTGCAGGCAATTCCCTAGAAGCAACCATTGGAGATGCTCTAAATAAACATATCACTTGCTTTTTTGTCCGTCCCTTAAAAATGTCTTCTTTCCTTATTTGGTAAACAACAGTGCAAAAAATATCAAACATTGCCAAATAGTACCAAACAATATCAAAAAGTGTCAAACACTACAATTTTTCTTAAATTGTGTGTAATTTAAAGTGGTACTTTTAAATAGGGACCGAGAGAGTAATAAGTAAGTACTCCGTAGTAAGTAAGAAAGAGAAGATTAAAAGTAGAAACAACAATAAGTAGAAGATGAAAAACTAGCAAATGGAAAATGAAATAGCAAAATAAAAATTAACATTGGTAAAAATGGTGCAAATAAAAAACTTTTTTAAAAAATGGATACGTTGCAGATACATAATAACTGAAGAATTCAATTCCTATCCTCCATGAAACTTTCTCCATGTGCAAGTATGTCTCTGGGAAGTTTCCTCACACCAAGGAACCACCTTCTTCACACCTCCATTGAAGCTTCCTCGTAGCTTCAACACACCTTCCTTCCACCTTCATACTACCTTGTTTTGGTACTATAAATAGAGAGCTTGGAGAGTCTTTCTATCATCGAGTAAATTAGAATAGATCATCATAGCACAACCAAGTTTGAGTTGCGAATATCCTTGAGAGATATGTGAGGTGTTTTGAGGGTTTTTAGTTAGAGCTTGTATGTCTCTTCTTTCTATTCTTGAAAGTAATAGGATTGTTTTTCTCTCATATTAGCAAGATCCCGTTATTCCCAACAAGTGGTATCAGAGTCTGGTTGAGCTTTTGATATTTTTCCCAGATTTTTTCAGACAAAATTCTACTGTCTGAAATTTCGAGTTTTTCAGTATTGCTCGGAATTGCAATCTGCATATACCGTTGGATTCGTCTCGTCGAGACGAGAAAACATGTATTTTTGGGGAATTTTTTGGCCACCGGAAGCTGTCGTACGCGTCGCCAAACGCCGGCGAAAAACTGCCTGCGTCATCACGCGCAGTCCAGAGGTGGAAGACGACTGATTTCATCACTGGCGTTGTGATACCCTGAAAATTTAAACAAAAATAAACCAGATAAAATATATCTGACAAAGTAGACAAAAATAAACCAGATAAAATATATTTGACAAAGTACACAAAAATAAACCAGATAAAATATATCTGACAAAGTACACAGAAACAAATATGAAAAATGTTATAAGTGACATTTTGTAACAAGTGATAATCATACATATGATAAAAATAATGAAATTAATATTTTAACAATTTTAATTCAAAGGTACGAATTAGTGTATGATATGTGTACAAAAGTGTACACATAATAACAATGTTAAGAAATTGAATTTTCAAACGTAATATATATACATAATACATAGTAATATGTAAAGATGAATAATGCTCTTGCAATAATATGCTCCTGCAAAACAAAGATGTACATAGCAAATAATTCATATAAGGACTTCATACATATGAACCTGCATGAACAACAACTAACAAACCCACATGCGTAGAAGCTAATAATAGGATAAGCCAACGAAGCAATCTCGAGCAGTCTACTAGTTGAGCTTCGTTTTGAGCCTATAAATACATGACCTGCGTACTGAGCATCTCCACACCAAGCTATTAGCTTACTCGCCGGAAATATACACCTATATATATATTTACGTAAGGAATTGCCTATAAGCAAGAGAGGAGGGTCGTGAGAGGTCTAGGAATACTTCCCAATAAATTCCAGACCGATTCGTAGTCACCGAAGCATCCTAGAGGTCGCCGGAGTTGCAAGCCGTGGAAACGGGTCTTCAGAAAAGACACGATTTTGCCGTAGATAGGGGTGGCGGAGCTTCTCCTCGACGTGAGGATCATTTTGCAACTTGAATCGTCGAAATCCGTTACCTGTAAGTAAAGTTATCGCTCGCCGGAGTTTTCGGGATTCCGGTCGCCGGAATCGCGACCTGGAGAAGAGCTGGGAAGGAGACAACCCAGTCTTCTTGGGCCGGGTCGCGAATTTGGGCCGGGTCGGCCCGTTTTCAATAAAAAATTAAAAATAAAATAGTAAATGAAATAAATAAAATCTGGAAAAATATAAATTAAATACCTGGTATAAAAATACATATTCGGACCAAGAATAATTGAAAAATAATATTTGTAGCTATTTTTAATTGATTTAATTGTAATTGGGCCAAGTTGTACACATTTAGTAAATAATTAACTAAATGACGAAAATAATTATGAAATAAATATGGGAGCAAGCTAGATTAAATATATGACTAACTAGGACATTTGGGACCATTTATAATTAATAAAAATTATAATTAGCATATTTAATTGTAATTAAACCGGTTAATAGATATATGAAATTAAGTGAATAAATAAAGGAAATAATTCTAAAATAAATATCTGGACAACCTAGGTCAAGTATAGACCCAAACTATAGTTATGGATGATTAGTAATTTATAAAAATGATGATTAAGTTATTTAATTTAATTGAGCCATATAAACTAGTTAAGTAATTAAATAAGGAAATTTTGATATTAATGGTGAAATAAATAAATCACTAAGATTGAAAATAATGTTCTGGACTTAAAATGATGTTTGTAATAAAATAAGGAAAAGAAAATAAAGTTGGATTATCTAGTATAAATGAATGACTATATTTGGACTTAATAAATAATTTATTGAATTAGTTGACTAATTAAATTAGCGTGATCCTTGATTATTAGTGATTTGGACCCCATACAAATTATTAAACTATTTTAACTCATAAAAATTAGTTGATGAATATAAACAAATTAATTAAGTAATGTGTACTTAATAAGTTAGTTAATTGACTTCATTGGACTAGTTTAACTAAATCAATTAGTTTAATGGATAAATTAGTTAATTTATAGACTTGATAACATTTCTGGACTTTATATAAAAAATAGAAAATTAAAACGAGATTAGAATTTGATTATTGGACTTAATTGAATTAGATTAACGTATTTAGCTATATTGATATAATTAAACTTATTCATTTGATTTAGTTAGTTCAATTAAATTAGTGAGTCAAATAAATAAAAATGGAGGATTGGATAAATTAACTTAATTGGGTTAGTTAGTATAAATAAACTATTGAACTAATTAAAGTTGTTATTGAGATTAGATTATCATTAATGATTATTATTTCGAATTATTGCCTAAGTCAAGTTATTATTAAAAGGGTTATTAAATAAATTATATAAATTATGTAAACTAAGTTTTGAACTGAAATTGATTATTTAAATTCGAAATAATGAAATTATTATGTAGTTAATATAATTGGACTAGTTAACTATTTAACCAAACAAATTAAGAAAAAACCGAGTTGGGTTATTATAATTAAAAAAAAAAAAAATTAAGAATGAACTGGAAATAAACAGTTAGTAAGATTTATTAATTTAATATTTATATTTAAAGAAGGAATTATGAAGTTAAAGTAATTAAAGGTTGGATATAAAAGAAATAACGAAATAATAGAATAGTTATTGATTTAGAATTTTGATCAATATTAGAAGGAGAATTCAAGTGAAGATCAAGCTAGAGATTTTATTAAGGAGATTATCGCAATTTAAGGTAAGTTCTATGTCAACCAAAATGTTTTGCCTCGTACTTATATGTATGCAATATTTGCACTATGTGAATTATTTATGAATTGGAAATTATATGTTTGACATGGATAGAATATTTTGACTATATAAATATTGGTGGATTATTACCTTTTATGGATGATTATATGTATATTCTTTTTATTAAAGAATATTGGTGGATTTATATTTATTACAAAGGATATTTTTGAGAAAATGTGACAAGAATGATTTGGGGAAAACTTAAAGTTTTCATAATATATATTCTTACGTCTCGAGAGAAACACGAGGCGTGGGTGGTTAGGGCTACTACTACTTTTGGTGAAATTTATTTGGGTCGGTAACCAGTCCGGCAATGACATACTCCGGTAGACATCCCGGGCTTTTATTTGAGGATCAAAGATCCTTTGGTGGTCGTAGTAGTAGTTACCTAATTTACCCCTGGACAATGTCCCTTGTGAGTAGGTGGTAGAAAACATCCCGCCTACTTGGGTTTAAGAGCCTTAGGTTTTCCTAAAGGATTTGAACACGAGGTAATAGGTTGTATGGAGAAATTCTGTCACCAAGACGATAAGAGTCTAAGGCTGTTGGTTCTTAATTGAGCCTTTGCGCTCGTCCAACTACCTGGGAATTTCTCCTTGTGCTGAAACTTCGTCGTTCGAAATCGTTGAAGGAAACCTTTGAAATTGTACCTTCAAAAGGGAGATTTTCAAACATTTTTAAGATTTGGAAAGATAATATAGCTAGGAAATGGCCTTTTAGGAACGTGGTGAGGACCTTGTGAGTATTTATTTTCCTTACATGTATCATGTATGTGATAATTATGCTAATTGTGGGCCCATTTGAGAAATGGGAACCCCAAATGATAAAATGGGAATGCCTCATAAGGCAAAATTCCGAAGTGGCTAAGGTATGTACAAACATTATGTGTGAAAGTGCTTTTATGTGAAGTATGAATCCTCTGTATGATTGTTATGTACATTTTTATATGATAATGTTGCATAGCCTATGGAATCCGTAGTTGAACTAGGATCCTTAGGAGTAAAATATAGAAAATCTTACACGAATACTTTATGTCATTAAGATATCATGGCACCGAGAAGAGACCCTGATAACACGCCCACCAATGCTGAGTTGGCACAAAGCGTTCAACAACTGGCACAATTCATGCACACACTGGGTGCTACGGTGCTCCAGAACAATCAAAACCAGAACAACGGGAATGATGCCGCAAAACGAGTGGCATCTCGCAACCCTCCAAGCTTTCATGGGCAAGAAGATCCTCGTATCCTCGAGAATTGGCTCCGACTCTTTGACAAACTCTTCGACGCGGTGAGCTGTCCGGAAGAGCAAAGGGTTGACATTGCTGTTTACTATTTACAGCAAGAGGCGGATAACTGGTGGGTCTCATCAGGCCCAACTTTACGTCAACAACCTGACTTCAATTGGGAAGCTTTCAAGATTGCCATGAGGAAACGTTTTTATCCTGCACACGTTCAGGCCACCATGCGTGATGAATTCATACATTTGAAACAGATGGGCATGAGTGTCCAGGAATATCACAATAAATTCGTGGACCTCGCGCCATTTGCGAAAACAATAGTGCCTGATGAAAGCACCAAAGTTGAGAAATTTATCTACGGATTAAACTATGATACGCAGAAAATCGTCGCTGTTTTGGGTTGCCAAACTCTTACTGAAGCTTATGATAGAGCTGCAGTTCACTATCGAGTTCAGCAACTACAAAGAGAGAGGAACCAGAAGATGAAGAGGGACGAAGATGGAGGTCGAGGAGAAAAGAGGGTCAGAGTGCACCCACCTACACAGCAACAAGAAGGGAGGAGGAGGAGAGATGACCAAGGTGGAAGAAATTTCCACGGACAAAACCAACAAAATGATCGAAGAGTTGCTCCCAGAGATAGACACTTCTACTGCAAGAGGTGCGGGAGAGATCATCCTGGTGTTAATTGCGATGGAAGCCTGACAAAATGTTTCAATTGTGGGAAGCTAGGGCACCGAACCTTCGAGTGTCTCTCAAAGACCAATGGGGCACCAGTGCACCAGGTGCAATACCGTGATGGAGGAAGGTCAGATATGAACCAAGCTGGGCCAAATGGAGGACAAAATAACAACAATGCCGCCGCCAACAACAACCGCAACCCTCGAGGAGGAGGAGAGAATAATCATGGCAATGGCAATGGCGGGAACAATGGCAATGGCGGAAACAACGGCAACCGTCCGAACCAAGGGCGAATCATGGTGATGAATCAGGCCCAAGCCAATGCTAATGATGTGGTTTCAGGTACATTCCTTGTAAATTCTGAGCCTGCTTATGTTCTATTTGATTCTGGTGCTTCTCACAGTTTCATATCTTCTAGTTTCGTTAAGAAATTGAAGATTGAACCAACGGCTAGAATAGACTTGAATGTAAGAACTGCCTCAGATAAATTCGTAACTTGTGGAAATGTATACTCCAACATTTCCATACTCATATCCGAATCCAACCTACCTGGAGATTTAATCCAATTTGACTTAAAAGATATAGACATAGTGCTGGGCATGGATTGGTTGGGGAAATACAAAGCCAGGATCCTCTGTGATGAACAGAAGGTGATCTTGAAGGGTCCAAATGGGAAGCGAATATCTTACAAAGCAATCACATCCAAGCCTAGTATGAGGCTGATGACTATGCAACAATTAAGGCGACATATCCGAAAGGGGTATGAAACATACATGTGCTTTATGAAAGAGGTGAATACAGGGGAGCCAAACATTGACCAAATTGCCGTAGTCAATGAATTTCCGGATGTATTTCCGGAAGAGATTCCAGGGATGCCACCCGAGAGAGAAGTTGAATTCTCAATTGAGTTGATTCCCGGAACCGCGCCAATTTCAAAAGCACCTTACCGGATGGCACCGAAAGAAATGCAGGAGCTGAAGGAACAACTAGAGGAGTTGTTAGAGAAGGGGTACATAAGACCTAGTGTCTCACCTTGGGGTGCTCCGGTCTTATTTGTCAAAAAGAAAGATGGGAGTCTAAGGCTATGCATCGATTACCGAGAGTTGAATCAAGCAACTATCAAGAACAAGTATCCATTGCCCCGAATTGACGACTTGTTCGATCAATTGAAGGGGGCTAGCACATTCTCTAAGATAGACTTGCGCTCTGGATATCATCAAGTGAGAATATCTGAAAAAGATGTACCAAAAACAGCATTCCGCACGAGGTATGGACACTACGAGTTCACTGTGATGCCGTTTGGTTTAACAAATGCACCGGCGGTATTCATGGACCTAATGAACCGTGTATTCCGACCTTACCTTGACACATTTGTGGTGGTATTCATCGATGATATTCTTGTGTATTCAAAAACCCCGGAAGATCACAAGAAACATTTGAGACTCACGTTACAAACTTTGAGAGAGAACCAGTTGTATGCCAAACTCTCAAAGTGTGACTTCTGGCAGGATCGGGTAGCGTTCTTGGGTCACATCATCACCCAGGAAGGCGTATCCGTAGATCCATCGAAGATTGAAGCGGTGGTTGAATGGCGTGCACCTACCTCGGTCACAGAGGTAAGAAGTTTCTTGGGTCTAGCGGGATACTATAGGAGATTTGTTAAAGATTTCTCCAAGATAGCAAGACCGCTAACCAACCTGACAAAGAAGACAACCAAATTCCAATGGAATGAAGATTGTGAAGCAGCATTCCAAGAGTTGAAGAAGAGACTCACAACTGCGCCGGTCTTGACACTACCGTCAGGGACGGAGGGATTTGATATCTATAGTGATGCATCCAAGAAGGGGTTGGGGTGTGTGCTGATGCAGAATAGGAAAGTGGTGGCTTATGCATCAAGACAACTAAAGGTGCATGAAGTCAATTATCCTACCCATGACCTGGAGTTAGCTGCAGTAGTGTTTGCTTTGAAAATCTGGAGACATTACCTATACGGAGCACATTGTAAGATATACACTGACCACAAAAGCTTGAAGTACATATTCACTCAAAAAGAGCTTAACATGAGGCAAAGAAGATGGCTCGAGCTTATCAATGATTACGATCTAGAAATCCAATACCACGAGGGAAAAGCTAACGTGGTGGCGGATGCTTTGAGCCGGAAATCTGGGCACTCATGCCGAGCAACATGGATATTACCAGAAGAACTATTCCGAGACTTCCAAAGATTGAGCTTGGAAGTAAAGCAATATGGCGAAGTAGATGGTGAAATACAGTTATGTACTATGACTGTTATACCATCTATCTTTGACGAAATCAAGAACGGACAACCGGGAGATGTAAAGCTCGAAAGAATCAAGGGAGGAATGAAAGGTGGCGTCAACGGACCGTTTAAGGTACATGAAGATGGGAGCATCCGATACAAGGGAAGGTGGTGTGTTCCACTGAAGTGTACAGATATTAAAAAACAAATCATGGAGGAGGGACACAACACGCCCTACTCGGTACATCCCGGGGGAGACAAACTATACAAAGACCTCAAAAAGAACTTTTGGTGGCCGGGAATGAAGAAAGAAGTAGCTGAATTTGTATCCCGATGTTTGAACTGCCAAAAAGTCAAAGCGGAGAGATGCAAACCCAAGGGACTCGTGCAACCCTTGGAAGTACCAACATGGAAATGGGATTCAATCTCAATGGACTTTGTCGGGGGTTTACCTTTAACAAAGTCCGGGAAAGATAAAATTTGGGTGGTAGTGGATAGATTGACCAAAACTGCAAGGTTCATTCCTATGAATGAAACCTGGAGCATGGAGAAACTGGCTAAAGCCTATGTCAAACACGTGGTCAAACACCACGGAGTACCTCAAGACATCGTATCGGACCGAGATTCACGATTCTTATCCCAATTTTGGAAAGAATTACAAACGGCTATGGGAACAAAATTGAAGTTAAGTACTGCTTTCCATCCAACCACGGACGGACAGACTGAAAGAACAATCCAAACATTAGAAGACATGTTGAGGGCATGTGTTCTTGATTTGCAAGGATCATGGGATGATCACCTAGACTTGGTAGAGTTTTCGTACAATAACAGTTACCATGCTAGCATCGGAATGGCCCCATACGAAGCTCTATATGGTCAAAAGTGTAGGAGTCCCTTATGTTGGGGTGACATGGTCGATCAGGTGGTTCTAGGACCACAATACTTGCAAGATACTATTGAGAAAATCAAAGTTATCCAAGAAAGGATGAAGGCTGCCCAAGACCGACAGAAATCATATGCCGATCTTGGGAGGAAACCAGCTGAATTCGAACTAGGGGAGAAAGTTCTACTCAAAGTCTCTCCTACAAGGGGTGTAATGAGGTTCGGGAAGAAAGGGAAACTAAGCCCGAGATTCATCGGACCCTATGACATCCTAGAGAAGGTGGGAAAGGTGGCATATCGATTAGCTCTACCCACGGAGTTGGATAAGGTAACAATCGATTTGAAATCAACTACTTTTCAACGATTAGAATTCATCCTTAACATACAAACTTGTGCTAGGTACATAACATCTTTCACGTATCACAATTAAAGAAGTACGTTCGAGATGAGTCACATATCATCAATCCTGAGGTAAGAGACCCTAAACTCAACATGAACCAAAGTAAATTGGAAATAATATAAGTTAACCCTTATATTATTAGGTGATTGAACTGGATGAGGCGTTATCCTATGAAGAAAAACCCGTAGAGATCCTTGATACTAAAACCAGAGAGACGAGGAAGAAGACAGTTAAGATGGTAAAAGTACTTTGGTCAAACCATTTGACCGAGAATGCAACATGGGAAACAGAAGAGGATATGCGTAAACGGTATCCTGAACTTTTCAATTAAGGTAAATATTCGGTTACGAGGACGTAACCTTTCTTTTAGGGGGGCAGGTTGTAATACCTTATAAACCTATAATACTTCATCTTCATACTTAATTCTCGTCTTAGTTTATGCTTCGAGGACGAAGCATTCTTTAAGGAGGGTAGAATGTGATACCCTGAAAATTTAAACAAAAATAAACCAGATAAAATATATCTGACAAAGTAGACAAAAATAAACCAGATAAAATATATTTGACAAAGTACACAAAAATAAACCAGATAAAATATATCTGACAAAGTACACAGAAACAAATATGAAAAATGTTATAAGTGACATTTTGTAACAAGTGATAATCATACATATGATAAAAATAATGAAATTAATATTTTAACAATTTTAATTCAAAGGTACGAATTAGTGTATGATATGTGTACAAAAGTGTACACATAATAACAATGTTAAGAAATTGAATTTTCAAACGTAATATATATACATAATACATAGTAATATGTAAAGATGAATAATGCTCTTGCAATAATATGCTCCTGCAAAACAAAGATGTACATAGCAAATAATTCATATAAGGACTTCATACATATGAACCTGCATGAACAACAACTAACAAACCCACATGCGTAGAAGCTAATAATAGGATAAGCCAACGAAGCAATCTCGAGCAGTCTACTAGTTGAGCTTCGTTTTGAGCCTATAAATACATGACCTGCGTACTGAGCATCTCCACACCAAGCTATTAGCTTACTCGCCGGAAATATACACCTATATATATATTTACGTAAGGAATTGCCTATAAGCAAGAGAGGAGGGTCGTGAGAGGTCTAGGAATACTTCCCAATAAATTCCAGACCGATTCGTAGTCACCGAAGCATCCTAGAGGTCGCCGGAGTTGCAAGCCGTGGAAACGGGTCTTCAGAAAAGACACGATTTTGCCGTAGATAGGGGTGGCGGAGCTTCTCCTCGACGTGAGGATCATTTTGCAACTTGAATCGTCGAAATCCGTTACCTGTAAGTAAAGTTATCGCTCGCCGGAGTTTTCGGGATTCCGGTCGCCGGAATCGCGACCTGGAGAAGAGCTGGGAAGGAGACAACCCAGTCTTCTTGGGCCGGGTCGCGAATTTGGGCCGGGTCGGCCCGTTTTCAATAAAAAATTAAAAATAAAATAGTAAATGAAATAAATAAAATCTGGAAAAATATAAATTAAATACCTGGTATAAAAATACATATTCGGACCAAGAATAATTGAAAAATAATATTTGTAGCTATTTTTAATTGATTTAATTGTAATTGGGCCAAGTTGTACACATTTAGTAAATAATTAACTAAATGACGAAAATAATTATGAAATAAATATGGGAGCAAGCTAGATTAAATATATGACTAACTAGGACATTTGGGACCATTTATAATTAATAAAAATTATAATTAGCATATTTAATTGTAATTAAACCGGTTAATAGATATATGAAATTAAGTGAATAAATAAAGGAAATAATTCTAAAATAAATATCTGGACAACCTAGGTCAAGTATAGACCCAAACTATAGTTATGGATGATTAGTAATTTATAAAAATGATGATTAAGTTATTTAATTTAATTGAGCCATATAAACTAGTTAAGTAATTAAATAAGGAAATTTTGATATTAATGGTGAAATAAATAAATCACTAAGATTGAAAATAATGTTCTGGACTTAAAATGATGTTTGTAATAAAATAAGGAAAAGAAAATAAAGTTGGATTATCTAGTATAAATGAATGACTATATTTGGACTTAATAAATAATTTATTGAATTAGTTGACTAATTAAATTAGCGTGATTAAATTAATAATTATTATCCTTGATTATTAGTGATTTGGACCCCATACAAATTATTAAACTATTTTAACTCATAAAAATTAGTTGATGAATATAAACAAATTAATTAAGTAATGTGTACTTAATAAGTTAGTTAATTGACTTCATTGGACTAGTTTAACTAAATCAATTAGTTTAATGGATAAATTAGTTAATTTATAGACTTGATAACATTTCTGGACTTTATATAAAAAATAGAAAATTAAAACGAGATTAGAATTTGATTATTGGACTTAATTGAATTAGATTAACGTATTTAGCTATATTGATATAATTAAACTTATTCATTTGATTTAGTTAGTTCAATTAAATTAGTGAGTCAAATAAATAAAAATGGAGGATTGGATAAATTAACTTAATTGGGTTAGTTAGTATAAATAAACTATTGAACTAATTAAAGTTGTTATTGAGATTAGATTATCATTAATGATTATTATTTCGAATTATTGCCTAAGTCAAGTTATTATTAAAAGGGTTATTAAATAAATTATATAAATTATGTAAACTAAGTTTTGAACTGAAATTGATTATTTAAATTCGAAATAATGAAATTATTATGTAGTTAATATAATTGGACTAGTTAACTATTTAACCAAACAAATTAAGAAAAAACCGAGTTGGGTTATTATAATTAAAAAAAAAAAAAAATTAAGAATGAACTGGAAATAAACAGTTAGTAAGATTTATTAATTTAATATTTATATTTAAAGAAGGAATTATGAAGTTAAAGTAATTAAAGGTTGGATATAAAAGAAATAACGAAATAATAGAATAGTTATTGATTTAGAATTTTGATCAATATTAGAAGGAGAATTCAAGTGAAGATCAAGCTAGAGATTTTATTAAGGAGATTATCGCAATTTAAGGTAAGTTCTATGTCAACCAAAATGTTTTGCCTCGTACTTATATGTATGCAATATTTGCACTATGTGAATTATTTATGAATTGGAAATTATATGTTTGACATGGATAGAATATTTTGACTATATAAATATTGGTGGATTATTACCTTTTATGGATGATTATATGTATATTCTTTTTATTAAAGAATATTGGTGGATTTATATTTATTACAAAGGATATTTTTGAGAAAATGTGACAAGAATGATTTGGGGAAAACTTAAAGTTTTCATAATATATATTCTTACGTCTCGAGAGAAACACGAGGCGTGGGTGGTTAGGGCTACTACTACTTTTGGTGAAATTTATTTGGGTCGGTAACCAGTCCGGCAATGACATACTCCGGTAGACATCCCGGGCTTTTATTTGAGGATCAAAGATCCTTTGGTGGTCGTAGTAGTAGTTACCTAATTTACCCCTGGACAATGTCCCTTGTGAGTAGGTGGTAGAAAACATCCCGCCTACTTGGGTTTCTTACTACTCGGAGGGCTTGGAATCCCTTTTAGAGGGTGTGCACACTTAAGGTAGAAATTCAGCTTCCAATTGGTGGTCGGTGGGAGCCGGAATTCCGGGATGAGTCGTAGATAACAACGACTCATTGGGCTCGAGGAATCTTGAGTTTCGCCCACTCTTAAAAGAATCTAAAGTATTACTTTTGGAGGAATTGAAGGATGATCTTATCTATTGTGGAAATTATTTTATGACATTAAACCATTTTGAAAATATGAGAGACTACTTTTCAATATATATATACATATACAAAAACCTATTTTCCAAATTATATTATTTTACGGGTTCGGGTGGAATCTTACTTAGCTCTAAAGCTAATTTTTGTCTCTTTTCTCTTTTTCTCTTTGCTCTATTGTACAGATGATTATGATTATGAAGATTGATGTACTTGCTGCCCGAGCGTTCCGCTAGTTGCACACGTTTGATTAATTATTGTTGTTTAAATTTGTAATCCATAAACTTTGTTTAAGTTTTATCTGATGACTACTTGAATTAATGGTGGATAGCCTGTGCACTCAATCATGTATAGGTTGAGTGTGGCGGTGACACACCTATTTTTCCATCAAAGACTTCCGCTGTACTCTAAATATGTTTTATAATAAAGATGTTTTCATTTCAAAATGTTATTTGGGAAAAATGGGGGTGTTACAGGCGTCATCAGCCAGCCAGAGCTGCGTCAGCGGCTCAGCGCCACAAGTGCAGTCCCAGCACAATCAGCGCCACGTCACCAGTCCACTGCCATCTTCCACCAGAGCCTAGCCAGCTACCACGTCAGCGCCACATCACTGCCACGTCACCAGTCACTTTATAATTTTGGAAATTTGCAGTTTGGTCCCTCAATTTTTGGAAAATTATAATTTCCACCTATAATTTTTCGAAAATTGTATTTTTACCCCGAAAGTGCCTATCCACCATTTTCGGCCGTTCCGGACGCAACGGTGCTGCCCGTTTTTCGAAATTCTGCTCCTATTTTTCTCAAACAGAAAATCAAATTATTTAGAAGGTGAAAATGACCTTTGACGAGTCAACTTCATCTTCCGGAGCTATGATTATGCTCACGGCTACCAACTACACGTTATGGAAACCTCGAATGGAAGATTTCCTTAGCTGTAAAGACCTATTTGATCCAATAGAGATGAAAGGTATTAATCCTGATCTGCCCAAGTCAACGGAGTGGAAGAAAATTAATAGAAAAACTATTGGTCAAATGTGACAATGGATTGACCATAGTATCTTCCACCATGTTGCACAAGAAACCGACGTTTATACCCTTTGGAAGAAGTTAGAAGATATGTATCGGGCCAAGACTGCTAAGAACAAGGCCATATTGATGAGGCGCCTTGTCAATATGAAGCTCAAAAGTGGAACTTCTATTGCTGAACATACTAGTCAATTTCAGAGTCTGGTAAATCAACTATCTTGTGTAGAAATGCCACTTGGAGATGAAATGCAATCTCTACTACTTCTTAGTTCCCATGCTGATAGTTGGGAGACACTAGTTGTTACTCACAGCAACTCGGCCCCAGATGGCAAACTTACCATGTCTGTGGTCAAGGATGCATTGTTTAATGAGGAGGCAAGAAGGAAAGACATGAGCACAGATCAGACTCATGCCCTTGTGACGGAGAATAGAGGAAGACCACAAGGAAAGCAACAAAGAAACAGTAGAGGAAAGTGGCAAAGCAAAGGCAAAAGTCGGGGGAGATCATCGGATGGCCGGAAACCTTTTTATACCTGCCACCATTGCGATATAGAGGGTCCATGAAGAAGAATTGCTACAAATTGCTAGAGGAGCGAGGCAAGAGCAATTTTCAAGCGAAGAACAAGGGTGGTGAAGTGCTCATCACAATCTCATGTGATGTGGTGTATTGTACTATCAATGATGAAACATGTCTTCACGTCTCAAGAGAAGACACTGAATGGGTGGTAGATAGTGCAGCATCCTACCATGTTACTCCCCACAGGTACTACTTCACAACTTACAAAGCTGGAGATTTTGGAGCGGTGAAGATGGGTAATTCCAGTTCATCTGAAATAGCTGGAATTGGTGATGTACAAATAAAGACAAGTACTGGGATCACAATCACTTTGAAGGATATCAGACATGTTCCAGACCTTCGGCTCAACCTCCTGTTAGTGGTATGTCTTGACGAATAGGGGTATGAAAACCACTTTAACAGGGGCACCAGGAAAATGTCAAAGGGCATTTTGACAATCGCTCGAGGACATGTTTGTGGCACATTGTACAAAACCCATTTGAGGATTTGTACGGATAGCCTCAATATTGTTGAGGAGACTTTTCAGAATCTGTCGCTCTTGAGACTCGGCCACATTGGTGAGAAAGGGTTGACTACCTTGATGAAGAAGAACCTTATCAACATTGACAAGAATGCTGCACTGGGTCCTTGCAGTCATTGTCTGTCTGGTAAGCAACATAGAGTATCATTTAGTTCTACTTCAACTAAAAGATCGGAGTTGTTGAGTTTGGTACACTCTGATGTCTGTGGTCCTTTCGAGGTGGAATCAATCGGTGGCCGGAAGCAGATATTTTCTGACTTTTATTGATGATGCTACTAGAAAGTGTGGGTGTATTTCCTGATTACGAAGGATCAGGTGTTCGAGAGCTTCAAGGCATTTGACGTCTTGGTGGAAGGTGAAACAGGAAAGAAGTTGAAATGTCTCCGATCTGATAATCGAGGCGAGTATACTTCCAAGGCGTTCGATGCATATTGCAGAGAATATGGCATTCGACATGAGAAGTCAGTACCACGTACTCCTCAGCACAATGGCATTGCTGAAAGAATGAATCGGACTATCATGTAGCGTGTCCGGAGCATGCTGAATATGGCTAAACTTCTGAAGTCATTATGGGGAGAAGCAGTAAACACCGCATGCTATCTTATCAACCGATCACCTTCAGTACCACTGAACTTTGAAGTTCCAGAGAGGCTATGGACAGGTAAGGATCCTACATACTCACATCTTAGAGTATTTGGTTGTTCATCATATGCACATGTATCCAAAGAGCTCAGGCAGAAGCTCGATGCAAGAACTATCCCATGCATTTTCGTTGGCTATGGAAATGAAGAGTTCGGATACATGTTATGGGATCCTAAAGAGAAAAAGGTGTTCAGAAGTAGGGACGTTGTGTTTCACGAAGATTTGACAATAGAAGACATTGAAAAACCCACAATGTCTCGGAAGTCAAATGAGGGTGCTAGAGTTTCAAATGAAGCACCAGAAGAGGACAAAGTGCATGAAGATAACTCAGAAGAAGAAGAAGAAGAAGGAGGAGGAGGAGGAGGAGGAGGAGGAGGAGGAGGATGATGAGGAGGAGGAGGAGAAGAAGAAGATAGGGCAGAGCAAGGGGAGACACAACCCAGCTTGCCAGACACAGATGATGGTAGCTCTTCTTAGATGGTTCCTACTGTTCGTAGATCTGAACAAGGGCATATACCATCGACAATGTACACATCAGTTGAATATCTTTTGTTAACTGAAGATGGAGAACTAGAGAGTTTTCAAGAAGCTGTGTCTCATAAGGATAAAGAAAAATGGCTAATAGCAATGCAGGATGAGTTAGAATCTCTGCAGAAAAATCAAATTTATGAGATCGTAGAACTTCCTAAAGGGAAGAAGGCACTAAGGAACAAATGGGTGTCCAAGCTGAAGAAGGATGCAAGCGGACAAGTGGTGAAACACAAAGCTCGGTTGGTTGTCAAAGGATTCCAACAGAAGAAGGGAATTGACTTTGATGAGATCTTTGCACCAGTTGTCAAGATGACCTCAATCCGAGTTATAGTTGGCTTGACAGCAATTATGAACTTGGAGCTTGAACAGATGGATGTGAAGACAGCATTTCTTCATGAAGATTTGAAAGAAGAAATATATATGCAGCAGTCGGAAGGTTTTGAGAACTCAAATGATAACTTTGTGTGTAAGTTATCTAAAAGTTTGTATGGCTTGAAGCAGACACCAAGGCAATGGAATAAGAAGTTTGACTCATGCATGAAGAGTCATGGCTAAAAGAAGACTACTGCGGATGAGTGTGTATACATCAAGAAACTTCCAGACGATACTTTCATTGTTCTTCTACTATATGTAGACGACATGTTGATCATTGGGAAAGATGCAGTGAAGATAAACCAACTGAAGAAAGAACTATCTAAGTCTTTTGATATGAAAGACTTAGGACCGGCTCAACAGATTCTTGGGATGCAAATCACTCGAGACAGGAAGAATCGCAAGTTATGGCTTTCTCGAGAGAAGTACATTGAGTGAGTACTTGAGAGATTCAACATGAATGATGCCAAACTAGTCAGTGTTCCACTTGCGAATCACTTCAAGTTGAGCAAAAGAACATGCCCTACATCCAATGAAGAGATCGGGGAGATGTCACCAGTTCCATATTCTTCAACAGTTAGGAGTTTGACGTACGCCATGGTATGCACAAGGTCAGACATCGCACAAGCAGTTGGTACAGTGAGTCGTTTTCTCTCTAACCCCGGGAATGAGCATTGGGAGGCAGTCAAATGGATTCTCAGGTACTTGAAAGGTGCCACAAAGTTATGTCCTTGTTACGGAGGAGATGATCCAGTCTTGGAAGGCTACACAGATGCTGATATGGCCGGAGATATTGATAGTAGAAAGTCTACTTCAGGATATATCTACACTTTTGCGGGGTGGGGGGGGGGGGGGGGTTCTTGGCAATCAAGATTGCAGAAGTGTGTCGCTTTATCTACAACAGAAGCAGAATACATTGCTGTTGCTGAAGCTGGTAAGGAAATGTTGTGGCTAAAGCGCTTTCTCCAAGAACTTAAGATCCAACAGAAAGAGTACAAGGTACATTGTGATAGTCAGAGTGCTCTAGACTTGAGCAAGAACTCTATGTACCATTTACCAAGGAGAATCAATCAGACATGCTGACAAAGGTGGTAACATGAGATAAGCTAGAGTTGTGCAGAAACAAAGTCGGGATGCTTGTTTTGAATATGTCTGGAAGGGGAGAATTGAAGAATTCAATTTCCAGATCATATCCAAGTACAAGCAAATTGAAGAATCCAATTCCTATCCTCCATGAAACTTCCTCCATGTGCAAGTATGTCTCTGGGAAGTTTCCTCACACCAAGGAACCACCTTCCTCACACCTCCATTGAAGCTTCCTCCTAGCTTCAACACACCTTCCACCTTCATACTACCTTGTTTTGGTACTATAAATAGAGAGTTTGGAGAGTCTTTCTATCATCAAGTAAATTAGAATAGATCATCATAGCACAACCAAGTTTGAGTTGTGAATATCCTTGAGAGATATGTGATGTGTTTTGAGAGTTTTTAATTAGAGCTTGTATGTCTCTTCTTTCTATTCTTGAAAGTAATAGGATTGTTTTTCTCTCATTTTAGCACGATCCTGTTATTCCCAACAATAACAAGGAGAGTTGAAGATATGTTAAAATACTATGAAATTGACTTCTTAATACTCTCTTAATGTTTGCAATATTAGTTTTCTGTGTAAAATATGAAGATGATATAGTATAGGTAATTGATTGTTTTGAAAAAAGTCTAAAAAGTATGGCAGGATGATAA